GATTCCTCCTTCAGGGCATCTGGTCAGACAGCTGTGTCTCATTAGGTCACTGTGCTCACACGGAAGCGTGACCACGTTGGAGTCCTGAGGTAGGACAACGTAGACAGAAAAGTCAGTGGTTTTACCCTCTGAGATCTCAACTCCTCTGAGTGGAGAGGCAAGCTCCTTCCCTCAGAATCTTAGGGCCCTGTCAGGCTGCTCTCTGAGTTAGTCCCGAAAGCCTGGTCCCCACGAGGGCAGTGTGGGCAGCCGGCCACGCTCCAAGGGTGCAGTCGGGACCTAAGTCAGGGAGAGGACAAGCAGAGTCCCACACACAGCACCTATCCACAGACGTCAAGAACAGAGAAACTGTGAAAGCTGAGTCACCATGTCCATGTTGTGGCTACAGAGTTGAGGTTGGGCAAAGTTTGAGAATCAGAAACATGGCTGTGAAGGAGGTGGGGCAGGGATGGGCCGGTGTGAGCTTGGACACCACAAAACTGGGCATCCCTGCTGGAGTGGGGCTCACACCAAGATCTGAATTTCCTAGTGGTGAATGTAAAAAAAAGGACAATTCTCAAAGAATAAACAACAAAACTCCTGGAGGGAGTAAAGGAGTATCACAAGACTGTATTGTGAAATCAATATGCAAAAGTCATCTGCTTCCCTGTGTGTCAGCAGTAAGGAGCGGAACTTGAAGTGTAGAATCCAGTAATGTTTACGATGCTCCCCCCCAGGAACAAAAGGAAAAGGAAATACTTAGGTATAAATCTAATGAAGGATCTCTGTGTGGAAAACAACAAAACTCAGATTAAAGGAATTAAAGAAGATCAAAATAAATGGAGAGATATCCCATGTTCACAGATTAGAAGATTCAATATTGTCATGACGTCGATTCTTCCTAACTTGATTTGCAGAATCAACACAATCCCATCAAAATTGTAACAAGGGATTTTGTAGATACTGGGAAATTGATTTTAAAATTTATATGAAAAGGCAAAAGAGCTAGGCATGGTGGCTCACACCTGTAATCCCAGCACTCTGGGAGGCTGAGGCAGGTAGGTTTCCTGAGCTCACAGGTTTGAGAACAGCCTGAGCAAGAGTGAGACCCCATTTCTAAAAATAGCTGGGTGTTGTGGCGGACGCCTCTAGTCGCAGCTACTTGGGAGGCTGAGACAAGAGAATCGCTTGAGTACAAGAGTTCGAGATTGTTGTGAGCTATGAGGCTACAATACTCTACTGAGGGTGACAAGTGAGACTCTGTCACACACACACACAAAAAGGACAGCGCCTGTGGCCTTATACTGAGGGTGGTGGGTTCAACCTGGCCCCAGCCAAACTGCAACAAAAAAAATAGACGGGCATTGTGGCGGGCGCCTATAGTCCTAGCTACTCAGGAAGCTGAGACAAGAGAATCGCCTAAGCCCAAGAATTGGAGGTTGCTGTGAGCTGTGACGCATTGGCACTCTACTGAGGGTAACAAAGTGAGACTCTGTCTCTAAAAAAAAAAAAGAAAAGAAAAGGTAAAATAAGAGTTCACAGGCAGGCCTCTCTGTTACCTCTGGGAAGCCCTGCTCACAAGGTGGCACTCAGTGGCATCTGGGAACATGATTTGGAGAAGTCCTACCATGCCAACCAGTAAGAATGACTCATCGTACCTATGGGGCTGGGGCAAGCAACGTGCTTTCCACTGAACACCTGGTATTGTTTAGAAAGCTAGAATTCTGACCTGGTAGGCAGAGGGTGACTGTGAGACTAGCTCCCAGCACAAACCCGGCACAGTCTTCAATGACCTGGCGTCCACAGTGCTTCACGAGTGTGGCCATGACCTGTGCCTGGTGACCAGGTGTGTCCTGCAAGTCCATGGGGGGACCCTGGGGCTTGTGCTGGCTTCCTCTGGACTTTACCCCTGCTCCCTGGGCTATGTCATGCCGTGACAAATTGTAGCGTGAGTCTGCTATGTGCTGTATGCTGAGCCCTGTGTGCTCCCAGTGAATCACTGAAGCTAGATGCTGCTGGGGACCTGGCACTCTAGCACAACCCACACAGGGACAGAAGGGGAGGACTCGCACTGCCCAGCTCAAGACTTACTACGGAGCCACAGTAACCAAGCGTTACACTGGCAGGAGAATCAACAAGTGGAACAGAACAGGGAGTTCAGACACCGATGTGGATGAGTGCCATCAACCAATCTGTGATGAAGAAGCAGACAATTTAATGGAGAAAGACACTCTGTTCAAAACGGTCCATTATAATTGGAAATCTATGTGTAAAACACGTAGCCTAAACACAGACCTTCCACTTTTAACAAGTATCGTATCATCTAAAAAGTATCACAGGCCTAAATATGAAATGCAAAACTATAAACTAAAAGAAAATGCTGGAGAAAATCTATGCGACCTCGGGTCTAGTGATGGGTTTTTAGATATAATCCCAAAAACATAATCCATGAAAGAAAAGATCGATAAATTGGACCTTATTAAAATTAAAAACTTCTGCTCTGTGAAAGACACTGTTAAGGGGATGAAAAGACAAGCTACAGACTGGGAGAAATATTTCAAAAACTCACATTCAATAAAAGATTATTATGCAAAATATAACAGTCCTTTATCAACTACTAAAACTCAATAATAAGAAAATAAACAACCACCTAAAAAACGGGCAAAGGATCTGATGGGACATCTCACCAAAGAAGATGACAGACAGCAAGTAAGCCCAGGGCCTGAGCTCCTTGTCACTTGGGAAGTGAGAGTTGAACAACAGTGAGACAACATCTGAATTCAGAGCACTGACAGTGTCAGTTTCTGGTGAGGAGGCAGCAAGGGGACCTCTATTCTTGCAGGAATGCAGAGTGGCATGGCCCCTCTGGAGGACGGTTCAGAAGGCCTCTGTACCATCAAGCATGGGCCTGATGTCTGGCCTGGCGGCCATACTCCCCGGTGTTTACCCAGAGGGACAGAGAACTCATATCCACTCACGTGCCCACAGGATTAACAGCAGCTTTATGCACAGCTGCCAGGGTTTGAAAGCAACTAGGATGTCCATTAGTAGGTGAGTAGATAAGTGAATGGTGTCCATCTAGACCGTGGAATAGTTATTGAAGGATCAGGGGAAATGAGCTGTCATGCCATGAAAAGACATGCAGAAACCTTACAAGTCTGTCACTAAATGAGAGAAGCCTGTCCGACATGGCCATGTACTGTGTGATCCGAACCAGGCGGCATTCTGGAAGGTGCAAGGCTATGTAGGCAGTACGGTGGCCTGGGACTGGGGGGAGAAGGGATGGATGGGGAGGCACAGGAGATTTTCACAAAGCACTGAAACTATTCCATGAGATACAGTAATGGGGGGGGGGCAGGGCACTATATATTTGCCAAAACTCACGGAACTCAGAGCACGAAGGGTGAATTTATTACAGGATAAATAAAGTAAACTTTATTTGTATTATTCCTGGATATAGAAAAATAGGGGTCAGTGGTTCTCAACCTGTGGGTCGTGACCCCTAGGAACTGTATTAAAGAGCCGTGACATTAGGAAGGTTGAGAACCACTGATAGGGGTCCTTGCAGCCAAATAAATGGGTTTATTTTTTCTTAGTTGCCCTACTCTCCCAGCCTGCTCCCAGGGCCTTTCCCAGGTCTGCAAAGAGCCAGGGCCTCCTGCCCTGCCCTGCCCTGCCAGAGGCTTGGACCCACATTTGGTCAGTGCCACCCCCACATGCTGTATGTTGCTTGGGTCACCCAGGTAACAGATGAAGGGCCCCAGTGTCCTGGAAAGATTGCATGGTGACCCTGTATTCAGAAAGGTCCTCGTGGTGGGCAGGTGCCGCCTTTGTCCTGCACCCTTGACACCGTCTGTAGCCACTGTCTCCAGGCTGCAGCACTCACTAAGCATTTACTATTTATTCAAGAAGGCCTTCCTCATTAATTTCTGGAGGATTCATTGGGCATTCATCTTCATCTTTCTTTCACTTGTTCTTTAAAAAAGATCCATTTATTAAAAATAAAATCCATTTATTCAGGCAAGTTTCTGATTTCAGCTGAGCAGTTGCCTGAGTGGCCTAAACTCATGGGGCTCTTGTCCAGAGGACAGATGCCCTCACCACGGACAGGTCACCGCCCAGCACCTGTGCAGAATGCAGGGTGCTTTAGGCCAAGGCCTGATGATCTCCCCTCAGCACTAGCCTGGCTGGCTGCCAGGGCTTGGGGAGTCAGAGATTCCTGATGTCCCAATGTACCAGGATTCCATTCCAGGGACATGTCCTGGCTGGTCAGTATGGGGAGCAGATGGGTTGACATTCAGCATGAAAGGTCATAACCACAGAGCAGGGTAGGAAGACTCTGGGACTCTTGTCTAGAGAGACCCTGCCAGCCCTGTGACCTGCTGGGGACAGGAGAGCCAAGACCCAGGTTATGCTTCATCTTCCTAGGTCCCTAGGGTAGCCAGGACACATGTGCCTGGGGGGCAGGAGTTGGGGAGGCAGGTGTACAGACAGGAAGGGCAGGAGTGAGGCCTGGGATGGGGAGCAGGCTATGAACTCAGCACTGTCCATGTCCTGGGGGTTCTGCTCCCTGGGAATGCCACCCCCTACCTCATCCCTGGGCTGAGGGACCTCCCAGCATGCCCCAGGATATCCTTGGATGTCCTTGTGTATCCAGCTCAACCCCCTCCCCCCCACCCCTCCATGTCTCTCCTGTGCCCTCACTTGAAGGCAGGCTCTCCCATGCCCACCCTCTCTGGGCCAGGCTCCAACCATCAGGCCTCATCTCCTGTGCCCCACAGTGGCCACCCAGATAGGTCCCCAAACCCCAACATGCTGTAGACCCCGCCCCTGGGGCTCTCCCACCTCTACTCAGCACCCTTCAGGGATCTTAGACCCAAGCAGGTCTGTGCCCAGGATGCAGGGACAGTCAGGTTCTTGGTGTGGCTATAGCCCAGTTGGAAGGTTTTGTCCAGATCTGACCAGTCCAGAGGCCACACTGAGAGCCTGGGGGGCAAATGGGCATGCTGAGGAGCAGGTGCCACGGGACACAAGAGTACATTGTTTATTGTCTCTGGGAGGAGCTAATGCCTGGGGGAGGGGGCACAGTCATCCTGCCTGGGCCCTAGGGCAGAGGTGGCCAGAGATGGCAAGGCCTCACCTGGGCTCTCCTGTTCCTCCAGGGTCCTGGACTGTGTGCTCAGGGCAAGGAGCCTCGCATGAGGAGATGTTGCCAGACCAGAGTGCCCATTTTCCCTTTCCAGAGCAAAGGAGCTCCAGCAGGGAGGGGTAGGTAGGGAGTTTCCCTCCACCCCAGTGTCCTAGAGGCAGGGGACAGGATGGACTGGTAGGGCGGAGGGGTGCAGAGTGAGGGTCCTCACAACATGGTCCAGAGGATGCTGAGGCCCATGTGGAGCAGAAGCCCCCTGAGCTGGGCCCACAGCCCTGCCTGTGTGGGTGGTGCCCCATTGCAGAGATTCCCGGAGCAGCAGCGCCTGATGATTAAGCCTTCCACACCAGTTACTGGCATCCAGTGAATCCTCCTGTTGGTGGTGGAACATATGGGAGCACAGCGCCTGCTGAGTACAACTCTCACACTGGTTTCTGCAGAAAAGAGGAGATGGCAGGTGGCCCCAGAGGCCCCGGAAGAAGGGACCTATGATCACTGGGAGAGGCACAAAGGTGCTTTCCATGCAGGCAGTGAGGACCAGAATTAAGAGGTGGAATCCAGCCCTGGCCAGCCCTGGAGAGCACCTTCTTCTGTGCTTTCCCAGGAGAGACTGCAGAGGCAGGGCATGGCCACCATAGACTCAGGGGGCTGGCCCTGGGGCCGCACCCCTGCCAGTCCAGGGAGAGAGTCATGAGCAGATGGCTGATGCAGAGTGGAAGGCATCTGGCGGGCATGGAGCACCTGCCGGGTGCCCGGCCCTGGGTTTTGAGCTCCCTGGAGTCCCAGCTAGCCAGAGGCTGAGACAGGAGGATTGCTTGAGCTCAGATCTTTGAATCCAGCCTGGGCAGCTGTCAAACCACTGAAGGGAAGCAAAACATTCCACGGTGGGCGGAATCACATTTATTTATTGTGCTGTCATATACTTGTTGTGTTATATTTTGTTACATTGAATTATATTGTTATATTGTATTGCAATGTATTATATTGGTTGCAATATATTGTGTTGTATTATACGATATGACATTGCAGTACATTGTGTAACATTACATTGTAATACATGTTGCATTTCATTACGTGATTTATTATTTCATATTCCACTATAATGTGTCATATTACATTATATTGCACCATGTCATAGTATGTCACAGGCCATAAAGAACACTGCTGAAGATGCAGGATTTAGGCTTCCTCAGCAGAGAACACAGGAGTCCCAGCCCTGAGCTGTGAGGCCCACCTCACCCCTCCCTGGGGGTGCAGCTCTCCAGGTTTTGGAGCTGTCCCGGCCCCAGAAGGGAGCCCTCAATGCCTCCCACTCCTGGCATGGAGAGGCCAGTTACAGTATCTTCCTGGCCAAGAGAAAACATGGGTGGAGCTGAAGATAAAGGAAATAATGCTAAAGAAAAACAAAATTGAGGGAAAACTGGGAACAATATTCAGCCGGTGTCAAATCCCCATCCCCACCCCGCAAATGAATTTGTTCCTCTCAATTAGAAAAAGAGGAGGGTGGGCAGGGCTGCCACATGAGAAAATCCCACTTTGAAATGGTAAAGGCAGAAAAGCATAGTGGCCCCCACTCTGGCTGACTGGAGCCAAAGGCCTGCTGGATGGCAGCCCCCTCCATGATGGGCCAGGGTAGGACTCGAAGGACTAGGCCTTGCAATGTGCTTTTTTCCCCCCTCCCTCCCTTCCTTTCTTTCTTTCTTTCTTTTTTTTTTTTTTTTTT